CTCAGCCCGGCCCTGGTGAGCCCCGCCCGCCGCACTGCCGAGCCCCGGGGCCAGGCCCTGCCCCTTCCCCCCGCCGGGCCGGGCCGGGCGGCCTCCCTCCCTCCTGCGCACAGCCGGGCCCGGCCCAGGAGGGACCGTCCAGCCCCTGGGCAACAGGATGGAGCAGCGCTGCCTGGCACCGATGTGGGTCGGGCTGGCTATGTGGGCCACTTGGGCTTCGTGCCAGCACTGGGGCCCGCCTGGCCAGAGCAGGCCGTAAACCCTTTGACGTTGATCCACGCTGTGGCCAGCAGCGTCTTGAATGAGTCGCGTTTTTCAAAGCCGTCATTTTGAACGGTTTTCATGTCCGTCTCATGTCTGGGCCCTTTGCTCTTATTTCAGTCCGTAAATATTTTCAACATCCGACCTGACCTTCTGGCTCATTTTATGGGAGAGAAACAGGAGTTCGTGAAACAACCGTGGGGCTCTGCTGCTGGATTAACTTAATTTACATTATTTGCTATGGAAGCATGTACTCCATCCTTTTTTAAGCTGTTTTCTCACTCGGGGTGCATCTACACATTCAGTTAATGCAACTGAATATACTTTATCTTGGGCAAAATGCGGCCCGTGGGCTGGATGCGGCCCGCCAGGCCATTCTATCCGGCCTGCGGGACCCCTAAAAAGTTTAGAAAATTAATATTTATCTGCCCCGTCTGCCTGTCATGCGGCCCTCGATGGCTTGCCAAAACTCAATAAGCGGCCCTCCGCCCAAAATAATTGCCGTCCCTGCTTTAACTCAATTTGAGCTGGAGTAAACTGATCCCAGCATCACAGTCTAGACGTGTGTTTAAGTACAGTAATTTACTGCGCTGCCAGATACCACTTGTATCTGGTGGGACTGTCCAGCAGCACAATCAATTAGTCTACTGCATCCCAATTGCCATGCCCCTGTAGATGGTGATGCTTTACTGCGCAACAAATTGTCTGCTGCACAATAAAGCGTCTCTTGTAGACATGCCCACTGAGCCATACCAGTGACTTAAGTGGGACAATGTGTTGTCCATTCAGAATAAGGCTTTCAGAATTTAGCGTAGGTAGGAGATCAAGAAGTAATGAAGAAAAAAAAAAAGTGTTTCTACCTAAAGATCAAGAAGTAATGAAGAAAAAAAAAAAGGGTTTCTACCATATTCAAAATTGTATTATTTTAATAATCTTTTTCTGCTGTTCTGTTCCACAGATTGTTGATTCATTTCAGATACTTGTGGCAGCAAACAAAGCAGTTTACCTCCACAGGATTGGTAAAATGAAGACCAGAAGTCTTTATGCAGAAATTATTTTCAACCTCTCCCCAAACAACAATGTAAGCCTTTGCTAAGCAAATACATCTGTCACCGGGTGCCAAAACCCACAGGGACTAATTACCTTTCTTTCAGGCACCTGGATTCCAAATGAAATTCCGTGGCCTGTGTTGGGTAACTAAGTTCTCCATGAGTTGTGAACCATGCTAGTGGTGCTCAACCTCCAGCTCACAGAGCCATGCCATCTGGCCTGTGGGGCTTCTGCAGGTTCTGGAAATTTGGTGGTGAGGGAGCAATGTTAATTGCTTCCAGAGCCACCGTAATTAATGCTGTTACTGCTCCCCTACCACCATGCTTCCAAACCCATGAGGAGCCCTGCAGCCCACATGACATAGCCTCATATCCCAGATTGCACCAGTGGATGGTTGCTCCGCAGCTGGATCCAACACATGGATTCAGTGTGGCATGCAGGGTCACACCACAGCCAAATCATCCCTGCATATGTACCTGGCACACCAACCCCACATTGAGTGGATTCGAGTCATAAACACACTGGATTCGAGTCATAAACTGGGCCCATGAGCAGGATCCAGTCTGCAGGACCAGAGAGATTGAGCACCACTGTTTTATACAATGATTTAGGGGGGTTTAGAAATCTGGCAATGGAATTCAAAAAATCCATATTGAACCTGGATTTCTTACTTTCTACATAAGTATTCATACTATTGGGCTATTACATAAGAGGTAGACATCTCTTTTTATTGCCATGTTTTTAAATGCAAGTGGCAGTGGCTGCTGTGTTGTGTGGTGTCTCTGTGTGTTAGCTAAACAGGTCTGCCAGATTGGGCCTGCTGGAGGATTTATGCAAATGAACACCTAGTTTGTAGATCCTAAATCAGTGGTTCTCAATCTTTTTGGACTCCAGGCACCCCTCCATAACTTGTGTGAATTGAGTGGCACTCAGTTTCAAAACTAATATATATTACAGTGCTTACTACTTTGCAGAGGAGGTGGGCAACTGGGGTGGGGGGTGAGCTAGGTAGGGAAACACCTGAGTTTGCGCTTATCTGCTTTCCTCCTCACACTTTGGGCATCCTTCAAAAGGTGCTGCTGCCATGGTCCCTTGGTTGAGAATCACTGTCTTAAATGGACTTAAAGAGTGAGATAAATACTGAGCTGTTGAGCCCTACCAGAATGGCAGCAATTCGGCAGAAGGCCAGTCTAGCAGAACTCTTGGTGCTTACAGAGCTTTAATGGTAAAAACTTGGGTGCCTTTGGTCTTTTTACCACCGAAGAGGTTATGTGGGAGCTTTATGGATCTAACTTTTGGAATTTGGTGCTTGAATTCCAGCTGCATCCCACTTAAGACGCCTAAGTACTTTGGTGCACCTGGACCCCAGCACCCCAGTAAGGCAGCTAAAATAGTAAAACTTCTTTGGTTACATTTCAGTGCATGCTTACCTTCCAGTGCTGTGCTGTCTTCTCTGTCGCATCCATGACAATCAGGAATGTTGATTCCCCAGGTTTTCTTTTTATGCAGTCAAATTCTATAATAATTTTTCTTTAGAAAAACTAAAAGTTCTCTATGAAAACTGTAGAATACTTTTCCAGCCTATATTTATTCATTTGCTACACTTGTAAGAGCATTAAACTACTGAGACATTTCATCATCAGAGGAAACTACTGTCAGTGTTTGAAAATAACTTGAGGCCTTAATGTTAATAATAAGACTCATAAACTCTAAGAAAAAGTGAAAAGCCTCTGTTTTGGTTTGTTCTGATGTTGGGAACATGACTTACCAAAGTAAATTCAGATTTTATTAAGCAGTTATCCATAACACAACAAAACAGCTAAAAGTTTTAAAAACCATCATAATACAAAAAGTAGATTTTGTCTCTTCCTTTATTTTGCATCCTTAGAACACCCTTTATCCTTGTATAGTGCAAGGATAACATTTTACAAAAATAAAATAAATCGATTCACATAGGCTGTAGGAAAAGAATATGCAATCCTTTTCTTGCAAACTTTGCAAATCCAAAAATTGTCCAAATAACTGAAGCATTATTGGGTAACAAATACTCTAATTTTGGGCCCAAGTGAACAAGAGACGTCTTAGCACAGATTGGAAAGTGTAATTTTATTTCTTGGATGAAAAGCTTAAAAAAAAGGTTATGTAATTTATGTAACCAAAAGTTTACCTGGCCAGCCCCACTGGTCTAAATCAGGTTGGTGGCCTACAGACTGTATGCCAGATCAGACCATCCAAACAGTTGCATCCAGCCAATGGAGCTAGGACATTGGCAGAAATTTGCCAGCAGGAGACACTGGTGGCACTGCGGGCCAGGGCTGGTGGGGGTGCAGGGCAGGCAAGCTGTGGCAGCCCACCTTCAGGTCTGGCTCTTTCTAAAGCTCCTAAAAGTTCTAAATCACTGGTATTCAGCCTTTTTGCCCTGTGGACCGGGTAACTAGGAGCAGGTCAGTCCATGGGCTGGATCCAGTCTGTGGATCAGATTGTAGTGCTGACTCAGTCACGGCCCAATCCAGCTGCATGGGGTGGGCATGGCTGGGACATGTTTTCTCTGTGTAGAGCTGGCCTGACCAGGGCCCAATCCAACCAGTCAGGCTAGCCCTGGAGCTTGGAAATTTGGAAGAGGAGAAGCAGCAGTAGTGTTGTTTTCTACTACTCCCCCACTGCCAAATTCTGGGCCCCTGGAGAGGAGCATCTCAGGCCAAATGACATGGCTGCATGAGCTGAATTTGGCCCATGAGTCTAAAAGATTGTGCCTCTCAATGCCAGAGTACCTCCCTTCAAGACATACCTACGTGATTTGAAACTGGGGAGTTGTGATCGTTTGTCTTAGCTTATTATTCAGAATTTTCAAATATTTTGTGAATCTATGGATAATCTCGAAATAAGGGAGCCAGAGTTATATTTGTTATGCTAATACCTACCATTTGTAGTCATCTAAAAACATCTTTAATTCTCAGCTTTATTAGAATTTCAAAAGGTCAGTAATGCAGATAGCCAAGGGGCTTGCAGAAATCAGGGAAACTAAAAGCTTATTAATCTGTTCCTCAAGACATAACTTCGGTAGCTAATGTGAATTCATACTTTGAATGTATTGATGGAGCCTTTGGCTTCGGAAAAAGCAATCACCTATTTCTGCCCTAAGGGACAGGAATATAATTACAATTAAGTATCTTCTGCAACAATTATGTGCTACTTCTAAAGAGGTAAGACCTTTCCAGCCCCAGATTTCTATATGGTATAGTCTGGGAACTCAGGCTTAAGCCCTAAACACTCTGGGCACATCTACAAGTGCATTAGCATGCTTGAGTTAATGCTCATTAAATCTAGTATCTCTGGGTACAGGAGCCAGGAGGCTGCTCTGTAATTATAGCACGCTGGAGCTGACTTGATTAATTGTAATTAGCACGCTTCAGCCAGCCTCTGTATCTCATGTATCAGCGTCCCCGAGTTTCAGAGTGCCAGCAGGGGCACTTTAACTAAAGCTCATTGATGAGCTTTAGATAAAGTGCCCCTGCCACCGTTTTGAAGCACAGGGATGTTGATGCATGAGACACTCCAGGCACTTTAATTAGATTAGCTCTCGGAGTTGCTCTAATTAAAGCAACCTCCCCCTCGAGCACATGTAAAAATGCCTTCCTTTGTGAGGTACTAGGAAAATGATCATTAGCCTGTCTTAATGCGTGTTAGCTAAAGAACATGGTTTTTAAGTAATGTTTAATGTGCAAAAGCTTATTTTAATGTGCATTAATGAAAGCGCACGTTTTTAGTGATGTTTTAATGCGCATTAAAGCACGTGTAGACGTACGTGCTGTGTGAGGAGTTAAACAATTATTCTCAGCATGGAAGCAAAAAAGAATCGTTTCACAAGGCACAACCATTAGCCTCCTGCATTTATCCAATTCATTATGACTGCAGAACATGTATCTATAAAACAAAAACACAGAAAAACAAAGCACTTGACCTATTCAAAACAGTAGCCATGTAACAGTGCTCTTTAGCCAAAAGTAATACTTCAGATTTTTGGTTATATATACCTGCCCAGAGAACTATGCTAAAATCCTTGGGACTCAAAGGGCTTAGGAAGAAAAAAAAATGGCTTTCCAGGTTAACAAAGCACTGCATTATCTGCTTCTGTAAACGTGTACTGTTTCATGGATGTGTAACTGGATCAGTTTTTGCTACTGGAAAATTTGGTCCAGTGACTGAAAATATTATATTGGTTAGTTGCTTCCATACTACCTGAAAATGGCTGATAAAATGTGTGTTTTTTTCTTCTTAGATTTCAGATGCACTGAAAAAATTTGGTATTTCAGACAGTGACACTGAAGTACTCATTGTTGTGATTGAAGACAAAGAAAAATCTATAAATCTGGAAGATATTATATCTCAAGTAGAAGGCGAGCAGGTTTCTTTAGCAGAACTCGCCAAAATAACAGATATAGCAAAAGTTAAAAAGGTTTGTAAAGTCCCTTTGTTAGGAATATAGTGAAGATGGTTGTGGGAAAAACATATTTTATTTTATGATTAAATTCATATTGACTTCTACAGATTCCCATATCTGTGGGGTTAATAAATGTGACTTTTTAAACATTTGTTTGTATCACTGTAAATGTAAATATTATGTAAATTGACTATTTGTATGTTTCTTCTAGTGTTTTCTACTAAGGGAATAGCATTTTTCAACAGCTGTATATCTTGTAGCATTCCAAATTCTCACTGACTTTAGCAGGAGTTTTGGATCCAGAGTAGAATGCTGGCATACCATCTGCAATAATGATAGCATACCATTCCTCCTGTTTTCTCTAGGGAAAACATGGAATTCAGAATAATACCCCAATTCTGTAAAGATTTACACCATTTTTAACCTTAAATACTTGACTAATCCCCATGAGAGTTCTTAAATAGAAATGTTGAACTGGCAGGCTATTGCTAAGTGCCTTAGAAATAGGGTGCAATAATATATTACAAGTTTTTATTGCTTTATTTAAAGTGTGTTGTAGAGTACTAGACACAAAGATAGGGACTTGGGTAAATAATAAAATAGTTATTCAGTAGCCAGGAACCTTTATCTTATAATAAGCCTGTTTAAAATAATGGCTGCAAACCTATTCTTTAGGGACCTACCTAAATTACATCAGAAGTGTGCTGCATGGTGGCTCCTTGCTCTTTGCTCTGCACGCATGCCACACACTGCCCCCACCACTGATCGGCAGAGGAGCCCTGGGGCTGGGAGGCAAGAACTGTGGTTTTAAATATGCCGCAATTTTTGCCTCCTGCCACTGATTGGCCAAGGGGCTCTGGCAGCCCCGCTGCTTGTTGCTGAGATCAGCTGGGAGGCAAAAACTGTGGCATATTTAAAACCACAGTTTTTGCCTCAGCCAATGTGCAACAGGACCACCAGGGCCCCTCAGCCGATTGGGGCGGGATGAGGGGGGAAGGGGCACAGCAAAAAGAGCAAAATTAAAGGAGCTGCTGTGCAGCACACTTTCACCATGATTTCTGTAGGTCCCTCCCTGTTTTCATGTTTAAGTGAGATTAGCAAAGGATTTTACGAAGCCAAGATTTTGCCTGTTTTATTATGACTTGTAAAGGAGGCCTGGGTGTTCGTAAAGTCTTTTTTTAATCCCCCCCATCTCCTTTTTAATTAATTAATTAACTTTTTAAAAACCATAATAATAAGAAGAATGCCAAATCTATCTTCTCTGCTGCTGGCAGAGAGCTCTTTATAAGTCTCTTTAGGCTTGGACACATGACACATACACTGGTGTAATTTATGTTGGTTTTATTCACTGATATAAACTATATCCTGAGCAGACAGAAGACCTAACTGGGGATAGGTGTGTCCAGTAGCTACCATAGGCACTATTCCAGTGACCTGCCACCAGGTGGCATGGGAGCAGTTAACAGTCTATTTGCCTTGAGCAATCTGTTATCCTGGGACAGGGATGGACATGACTCGTACCAGTGTAATTTTACCCTAGTTTTTCCCAGGTAATTCTGCACAGGATTCAATTCTGGTAATGCTGGTGTAGGGCTGTACAATGACTGTCTGCTGCAGTTTTATTCTCCTGCAGGGGTGGCCAGCCTGCAGCAAGCATGTCACAGGTGGTGTGGGCAACCTCTGAGTGTGGTGCACAGCAAAGTGAGGAGCAAAGTCAGCAGTGGTAGAGAGCAGGGAGCACAGGGCATCATGAGTGACTGGTGCCTACTGAATCTGGGGGTAGGAGGCACCTGCAGAAGCCACCAAACCTGTCGGGGGGGCACCAGCCTCGTGTCCCGGTCCTAAAATGTGCATTGATCGCTGTATCACTTAATTGAAGGACAGAAATGTTAAACATTCATGACAGATATCCCTGGTGGAATCCTTATGCCCTTTAAGTAAATGTGAATTTTGCCAGTATCAAGATTTCACCCTCAGTTTCCAAAATGTTTAATTAATAGACTAAAATAGAAGTAACCGAAACAAAAATTGCAGTTTTAAATAATTCAGTGAAAAGTCCTATACCTTCACAATTCCGCAATTTTTACTCCCTTAATTTTTGTAAAGTCAACATTTCCTTAATTTCTCAGTCTCCACTGAGTCCAGCTTGAAGGAAAAAAACCTAAATTTGTGATGGGGGGACAAAAATCTGGAAAAAAATGTAAATAAAATCTGATAGGTATTTAATTGCTTAAGTGGGGAGGTATACACATTTTTCTTCGCATAATATTTACAAATTATTTATTTTGTTTCTACAGATGTACAAGCTTACTCCACAGGAAGAAAAAATTGGTACATTACTGGATGGTATCATTTGCAGAATGGCAACAAAAGATATTTCATGAATATGTACCAATAAATATTGCAACAAAATCACACTTTAAGACTACAAAAACACTTATTTGTTATTGTTCTCATTAGTTTTACAATCTGTCAGTACTAAATACTTTGTTCCTCTATTTTATTTAATTTGGAAGAGGAGCAATGATATAATGTATGAGGCTGACATAGATATGATTTATAAATTGCTAGACTAAACAAAGTCGGATTGCTCACAGTTTGTACTGTTTCCACTTATTTTACTTAATAATTTTTATTCATAACTTTAACTGGTGATAATCATAGTTTCAAAATCTATAAGAGATGGTTAACATTACTTTGTTATAGAGTGCTTTACTATCCTCACGTATTTTTTATCCCTCATGACTGCTATGACATGTTTTGCATTGGATATAAAACATGTCGTTGAATGATATAGAGATATTTTCACCTGCTTGGCTCGCAAAGGGGGCTTGACTTGACAACACCAAATGTCACAACACCTGTTAGTTGCCTGGTTCATAACATGTAATCCATAGTCCTGATCTTGATGACCAAAGTTCCCTTCACCACTTTGAAGAGGAACAGATGGCCCAGAATGGGATTCAGAGCAATCAGGCCATTGAGGGGGAAGTAACCTATGTTTGCCAATGGACAACACCGATTTTGGGTTGCACCATAAATCACATCTTTCCTAAGGGAATTAGGCTTCTTACCTGTTGGCAGCAGATTTTAAATTAATCAATCTTTTAGGCAACTGTTAAAGATATACTTGAAGGGAGAATTTTCTTTTCAGTTGTTGAAAGCAGCAGAAGAAAAAGAATAAAAAGATGGTTTGGGAGGATTATTGCCTCCAAAATGTTGTCTGAAGCAAAACTGGAATAGTATATAGTTAGAAACTGTCTTCTGTTAATTCATGCAGAATTCATACTTTAACTCACAGTATTCTACTCGTTATGTTGCTTTGAATTAAAAGTTACTTTCTGTTTCCATGTCTTTGTCATCACATTCTTCTACAGTTTTTGCTTAATATCACTGTCTTCTGAATTGCTTTGTTTCTCCCTTCTCTTCCACCATTACTAATAACTCTAAAGATAGTTCTAGCTGAAAAGAAAATGCATGCCTTCAGTCCCCCTAGTTGCCTGATTCACCATCCTTTAACTCGCTGGTTTGTCTTTGTTTTAGGCATATTCTTGTGTTTCGCCAAGCTCCGTTTAGCACAGGATCTGCTTTGTCCTATCTTTGGAACTCCCAGAACGTGAGAGAAGTAAAAAGTCAGTCTAGCCCCTGGTATAAATTAGATTAATTAGGAAGCTGCAAAGAGTTATATTAGCACCTAGAAATAACCATGGCAGTGTGGGGCTCTAGACATATTCTCTAGAGAGTAGGGAGAGTGGCTGACTTGCTTACCACCAATTGGGGATTTCCCTCTGTGGCAGGGGTGGCCAACCTGCGGCTCCAGAGCCACATGCAGCTCTTCAAAAGTTAATATGCATCTCCTTGAATCTTTGCACAAGCACAAAGTGACCAGCTTTCAAATGGTACACAAAGCAGGTCAAGATAGTACAAAGCAGGCCCTGTGCTAAATGGAGCTTAGCCAAACATAAGAATATGCCTAAAACATTTGGAATCTGGTCACTGTGTGCTTGTCCAAAGACTCAGGGAGACGCATATTAACTTCTGAAGAGCTGCATGTATCTCCAGAGCCACAGGTTGGCCACCCCTGCTCTATGGGGAAAATGTTGAGAGCCTGACAGCCCCTCTTACTTACTATCAGTGGAGAACAAAGGGTCAGATCAGGCCTCAAAACTAGGCCTATGATTTTTAGCCTATACATTTCTGTTAACTAGCAACAAAGTGAATATGCACAAACTGGGAATTCAAACTCGGCTTAATATAGCATCCCTGAAGTCAAAATCTACAAGCTCTTGCAGCTCTCATTGAAAGCAGAGATTCCATCATATTCTGGCTGTTGACACTCTAAATCAGGGATTTTCAACCTTTTTTAACAAGTGTACTCCTTTTGCCTCAAAGTTTCAGCTCATGTATCCCTTTATATTTCTTTCTTGGTTTTAAGAAAGCCAAGTCCCCCCTGGTGGTGAGGGAGGAAGTGGGGCTGGGGCAGGGCAGGCACCGCACAGTTGGGGTGGAGTGCAGGATGGAGCTGTGAGAGCAGTTCATCCGGGAGGTGCAGGGAGTCGGGGGGGCAGTTCCTGCTGCTGCACACACCCTGGTGGAGGTCTGGGGAGTACGTGCCCCCCCAAATCTGTGCACAGGGTGGAGGCAGCTGCTGCTGCAGGCTGGACTCTGCACCTCGCTGCCCCAAGAGCCATGCAGCCCACGTGCCTGCTGCGGCCAGGTGGGCAGGGGACAGATACACATACACATGCAGGCACAGACAGATACACACATGCAGGCATGGACATGCATACGCACACCCCCCAGCAGGTAAGTGTGGGGTGGGCAGGAGAGAGGGAAGGGGCTGGGGAGTGCAGATCGAGAAGGGGGGAGGGAATGTGTCTCTTTGCCCGCTCCCAGGAGCAGGGTGGTGGGGGGAGGGGAGGGGAAGGGCAGTGGTGCCTCTGCAGGACACACATGCTGCCTGGCTGGAGGGATGGGGTTCACATGCAGCAGCCACCACCACCCCATGCCACACTGCCGCTGCCATGTCCCATGCCACTTTCCCATGGCTGGTTGCACATGTGGCTCTGTGGGCTGCTGATGGGTGCTGCGCAAGGTGTATCACCAGCCCACAGAGGCACATGTGAGACTGGCTGCAGGAAAGCAGCATGGCAGCAGTGGCGGCAGCACGGGGTGGTGGCAGTGGTGGCCGTCACGTGAGCCCCATCCTCCCCGGCTGGCTGGGCAGTGCATATGAGGCCTGCAGAGGGGCACTGCTGCCCTCACCCCCCAGCCCTGCTAGCGTGGCAGCAGTGGCGGCAGCCCGGGGTGGTGGCAGTGGTGGCCGTCACGTGAGCCCCATCCTCCCCGGCTGGCTGGGCAGTGCATATGAGGCCTGCAGAGGGGCACTGCTGCCCTCACCCCCCAGCCCTGCTCCTGGGAGCGGGCACAGAAAGCGAGCTGAGGTCGGGGCCGTGGGGAGGTGCCACAGTGTGCTGCGTGGGGCCAGTGGCACCTGGGATGCCCCTCCCCTCCCCCATAAGAAGCAAAGTATGGGAAGGTGCTGGGGGAGACCCTGCTGCCATGCCCCAAGGTGTGACCACCTGCCCACCCACACATACCCCCTACAGCCTTTCTGCATACCCCCAGTTGACAACCCCAGCTCTAAATGGATTTTCCCTTAATTTTCGAGGAAAAATGTTTTCATTGTATAATAAAATCTAAATTGGGATGCACCTTTGGATAGCTCATAATCCCAATTACACAAATTTCCTTATTGGGAGCAGGTGCCTTTTCTAAAATCAGAAATTATTCAAATTTGTGTACATTATTCACAGGAATTTTGAAGGTTCATTAAAGACTAAAAGGTTTTCTACTGGCAGAAAGCTTAGAAGTGTCTGCTTCACAAATGGAAATGAAATTCAATTTAATGAGATAAATCAACTACTATCAATTATCCAGACGTCCGATGATACCAACTTCATAAACTGACTTGACTTTAATGTTAAGAAAGGATCACTGAAGTAATTCTATTGCTGAATGATATTAGATGAATTCTACAATAGGAAGAGACGATGCATTGATTTCCTATAATCAAATCCAAAAGTCCCTATGTCAATACCAATTTAATCAATATACAGGCATCTTAATTCAAGCGGAATTATTGTCCAAACAAGACAGCTGTCCTTATTACTGCTGACAAACTGAGGAAGTACAGCTAAATGGATTAAGCTCCAAATTCGCACTGCTAATGTTAAAAAAATATGTCTGTTTTGGCAGAGAAGTAGGACTTAATTAAAGACCACTATCACTCCAAGTTTGAGCACTGGCTGCTACAGTAAATAGAACAGCAAACTGAAGTCTTGATCAGGTACGGTATATTTTTAATTCACGTATTTAATATGGAGCTTTCTAGATTTCTAGCAACTCCTGATTGTGATTTATTTGTTAGTGGTTCTTCCTCCCTGCCCTAGTTAAAAGGCAGTATGACATGCCATGTTCACCTATGTTCAAAATTTAAGTAATCAAAATTCCAAATCAGCTGCTGCCAAACCTTGGTGACTGCCAAGTTTCTGCCAGTAAAGTACTTAAGTTTTTTCCAGGCATGTGCAAAACCATCCAATCTTTATTGCACCAATGTTCAATACAACTAAACCCCAGTGTGGGGCTAGCTAAGTTATGCAGTTTTCTGTAAGCAGTGTAGTTTAGATCAGTAGGAAACAGAACACACATTCATCCTTTTTTTTGGCGGGGGGGGGGGAGGGGGGGGAAGTCTTAGACTGGGTTCTCCCATTTTTAAAACAGTGGGGAGGGGGGGCAAGTCTTAGACTGGGTTCTGCCATTTTTAAACCAGTCTATGTGTGTCAGACTTCTGTTACAGATATAGCCTGGTTTCTGATCACTACTGATAAAAGTATAATGTTTATACCTGGCCTGGGTCAGCTCCACAGAAGGCATAAGTTCCTAATTCCCACTACAGTCACCTATGTTCAAAATTTCTGTTCACAAAATCCCTGCTCAGCTACTGCCAAACCTTGAAGACCCCAAGGTTTCTGCCAGTAAAGTTCCCTGGTACTTAAATTCGACCAGGCACATGCAAAACCATTCAGTCCTTATTGCACCACCTTTCTAAGGCACCTAAACCCTTGTGAGTCACCAGTTAAGACTTGCTGTGCCTCTATCTCCTGTTGAAACTGTTCTGCTTTGTATAAATAATTCACTGACCTACAGAAGGATTGACTCACTAGTGCAGTGGTTCTGGCACTCACTTGAGATATGGAAAATCAGGCTCACATCCCTGCTTATTTAATTATTTATGTAGAATGGAGCAACTACAGGAGTGATTGAGAGACCCTTTTCTTTCCCTCCTGAACCTAGAACATCCTAGGGCCCCGTGGGTGGAGTATGCTCATGCAATATGGCAAAACCAGGTTCAAATCCTGGCTCCAAATTAGGTTGGAGGCACTTAAACCTGGACTCAGGGCTGTGCATTACGTTAGATATCAGGGTTCCTATTTCAGTAGCCCAAGATTCCTTTGTGGGTTTTGCCCACTGTTCATAAATTAGGACTCAAACACAAAGATGATGGCAAAGTTTTACCAATACAAAACATGCAAAGGGAAAGGGCCACACTTACTTCTGGATGGAAGATTTTTTTTCTAGAACAGGCTGTCTTTTCTAATGAGAGAAGTAGGACAGTATTTACAGCAGGAGCAGGGAAGAGTTTGACACTTCTGAAATAAAACATTCACAGCAGCAGCTTGGGAGTATTATCATGGAAAATTAAAGGCTTGTTTTCACTGTCTGAAAAAGCAAATGGTACATGGAGTATATCATCAGACTTGTTGGCTGAAATGCTGACATTGTTCCTGTTAGTTTAAAAGAATGCAGGCAGGTATGTTTAAATCACATCCTTATTTGAACATGTACAAAAATCAATCCAAGTCTGTTTAATGTACGCAGAAGTGTTAATAAAAAGATTACTGTGTAACAATAGACACGTGCTTTCTGAATTTGTGTTTGCATTGTCTCATTTTCATCAGCTATATTGATAAGCTTAAAAGGAGTCTTGTACGGTTATGTGAAATTATATGAAGCTTTGTTTTAACATTTGAATTGGGCTGCTGTCATGTCTTCTGAATTGCAGTGCTACATTTTGATTTATTCTAAGAATGGAATATTTTATTAAACTTTTAACAAAACTAGGGAATTTTTTTTCCAAGTATCAGAACTGACAATTTTTTATATTATTCAGCAGATATTTTATTATTATTTGAGCAAAGTAAAGTACACAGTTATTCTGTTACTGTAATCTACTAAAATAAGAAAAGACTCAGATACAGAATTTAGCTATTAGTTGAAAAAAGT